GGTAGCGTAATCAAGGCGGCGGTTAGAGGCGAAGTCAGCGACAACCGCGACAAGCGTGTCAAGGCGCGAGACAGGAACAGACGGGTCTGTAACAAGGGAGGCAAGAACCCGAGGGACAAGGGGACGAGCGGCACGGAGGTAGTCGGACGAAGGAGGAGGCGACAGGAGGAGGGGAGGACAAGACGAGTGGGAACAGAGCAACATAGGGTGGGAGCGCAGGACAGGAGAGACGGGACGAGCACGGGAGGGACGGCGAGACCAAACGTGGGATGGAGGTGTAGGGTCAGGAGACAGCGGAGGGGACACATAAGGGGAACGAGGAGGAAGACGGGCCAGAGACGAGTCCAGCGGTGGGAACACAAGGCCGGAGACAGGGAGGTGAGAAGGTGGTGGGGGTGACACCTGCGAGCGGTCAGGGGAGGGAAGGCCGAGCAGGCGAAGAGCGGAGACCGGCGGCGACGGATACGGCGGCTGCTGCGGCGGCTGGTGCTCGACCCACGGAACGGCAGGGGCACGACGGCCGCTGGGAGAACACTCAACAGCAGCACCCCCAGAACCAACACCCCTTGAGCGAGAACCCCTCCAGCACCGGCGGCACCCCCAGGCGCGTCGGGACAGCTCACACCAAAGGCCGCAAGACGAACACCCTCCTCAATGCCAGCACCTCCAGAGGCTAAGAGCGGCAGCGGCGGCGGCGACGGCGACGGCGGCTGCGACGGCGGCGGCGGCTGCGACGGCGGCGGCGGCGGCTGCGACAGCGGAGGCGGAGACACCGGGGAAGAGGGATGCGGCAAGGACGGGTCGCGGGGACCACCAGAGTCAGCAGACTCCTCAAGGGGGACAACCGACGGGAGGGGAGTGACATGGGAGACACCAGACGAGGCGGGACGAGGCGGGAGGGGAGCAGGGGCTACCAGAAGAGAGGGAGCCAGGATCAAGTGGGGGGGAACCGGGAGACCTCGATGAGGGAAGCGGCGGTAGAAGGAGACAGACTCGTCAAAGGTGACGTCATGAGAGTGAAGGAAGTGGTGAGACTGCGGGTGGTAGAACTGCCAGTCAGTCGAGTCCAGGGGGAAACCGAGGAAGACACAGGGGACAGTGCGGGCAGTGAGCTTGTCCGTGCCAGAGGCATGAACGTGAGCAAGGCAACCCCAGACGTGGAACGCAGACGCGTCACCGGGGGACCCGGTCCAAAGGAGGGTCGGTGAAACCAGCGGCCACTGGGAGCGTGGCCACAGGTTAAGCTGGTGAGCAGCGTAGCGGACAGCAAACGGCCATAGAAAATAGGGGGCATCGACATGAATCATCGAGGTATGAGCAACCTCCATGACCAAGCCGATGTGGCACTCCGCAACCCCATTTTGCTGTGGCGAGTCCGACAAGGTGTACGACTGGGTGATGCCCTCCGCACGACAGAACTGTCCAAGCTGACCAGAGGCGAACTCGCCGCCACGGTTAGAGTGGAGACACAACACGGGGAGACCGTGGTGAAGACGCGCAGCCACAACCCATGGGAGAAGAACGTCGGGCACGTCGGCCTTCCGCTCCAGGGGAAACACCGTGGTGTAGCGCGTGTAGTGGTCGACGAGCACAAGAAAGTAGTGCTCACCGCGTGGTCCCGGGACAGGGGCTGGGCCACAAACGTCCAGGTGCAGGGTCTGAAGGGGAGCAGTAGCAGGGCGAAGCGAGGAGCGGTGAGGGGCACGGCGGAGCCGGCCCTCGACGCAAGGCGTGCACAGTGGCGTTGTCGAGGGGGAAAGTGCAAGGAGCGACTCGGGGAGGCCTAAGACAAGACCGTGCTAAGACATGTGACTCACGCGCGGGAGAGCAGGGTGACCGAAGCGGTGGTGCCACAGAAGGGACGGGTGTGTGAGGGACCAACACGAGCAAGCTGCAGCAACCTGAGAGGACGCACCAACCGGGGGGGGAAGCGGTGTCGAGGGTAAACAGACCGGACTCCGGGTCCCGGGGGAACGTCGCAAGGGGGGAACCTGAGATTGCCTCGGTACAGACAGCGAACCGCTCGTGCCCAGGGAACGTAGTGGTGACGCCGAGGTCCTGAAGACGGGCGACACCAACCAGGTTCCTGGAGAACGAGGGAACGTGGAGGCCTGTAAGAGAGCCCGAGGGAACGACTGGACAGGGAAGGGAAGTGGAGCTGCGAGCGACGACTGGACCTCTAAATCAAAGATCGGCACGCCCTGGCGGAGCAGGCTGTGCCAGTCAGGGAGGTCTGGGGTCGGGCCAAAGCGACGACGAAAGAGATTGTCGAGGCGGCGGAAACAGCGTGTGGTCGGGTGCGGGCGGCGGCACAGAGTGCCGCGGAGAGGCCCGGTCTGAAGCTGGTACTGGCAGGTCACACCAACGGAGCTGCCGGTAGACGCCAAGCTGCGCGGGCCGCCACCACGGCCACCACCGACGGAGGTGCCGGGCCAACCCGGGGTGAGGCAAGCCCACGGCTGGGACAGCTGCTGCGATGACTACGACTGCTGCGACGGCTGCTACGGCTGCTCCTGCAGCTGGGGCGACGGCTGCTGCTCCTGACTAACTGAGGCAGTCCCCTCAGTAGAACCACTGTCCCCGGTACCACCACTACTACAACCAGCTCCACTACCACGCCCTCCCTGGCGGCCATGACCGGCGCGGCGCGAGCGCTGCTGCGGGTGTACTGCAGCTGCAGTCTTGGTCAGAGGGGTCGTAGTGGCGACCGCAGCCAAAACGTCAGTATACGTGCACTGGGAGGGGGCACAGCCGTAAAGGATAGAGACTGCCGGCGCACCGCTCGACTGAGCGATAGTGCGCTGGCGAGTCTCGATCTCGGTCAGGGCGGTGACAAAGGCTGGCAGGGTGAGATCACCGGGGTGCTGGCTAAGGATGTGGTCGCGTACACTAGCAAGGCGGTCAGGCAGGCGCATGGCGATAAAGTAGAGGGTCATGCAGAAGGGGGGAGGGAGCATAGTGAGCTGGGCAGCAGTGCTAGCAGTGCGGTAGCGAGACTCTAGGGCGCGCAGGTGAGTGGCAAGGTCAGCAACAGTAGGGAAGGAAGCAAGGTCTGGGAAAAGCATAGGGAAGAGCAGGCGGCCTGCAGTAGCGGAGGCAGGCGTGGAATAGCGAGCAACAACAGCTTCTAAGTAAGCCTTGGCTGTATCAACTGTAGCAAAACTCGAACGCTCAGACACAGGGAGGGCGTGACTCGTAGCGACCTGAGCAACTGCATCACGAGAGTCCCAGGCAACACAGGCAAGTGTAGCAGCAGAGAAAATCTCACGCTCAGCAGAGGTGGGGTCAGAAGGGAGGGGAGCAGGCGCAGGGGGGCGGGGGAGCAAGCCATCAGTATGGAGAACCAAGGAGTGCCCATCCTGGCGCTAACCTATGAGTTGACAGCGGAGATCAGACAGCCAGGCGGCGAAGTCAACCGCATGGCCCTCAGCGTCCAGGAGGAGTACGAAGTCAGCCATCGTGCAGGGTCAGCGACACAGGGACACAGCAGCACGGCTCGACATGACACTGCGGCACTGGGACACAGCAGCACAGCTCCAGGGGGACGTCTGCAGGACGCTCCAGCACTGGCAAGTAGAAGACACGAGGCTGGAGACCCGAGGAACCATGCCGAGCAGAAGACATGGAGCCGCAGGAGCCGGGCAGGCACTATCGAGGCCGGGCAGGCGCTGGGTGGGGCCGGGCGGGCGGTGTGGGACGCGCGGGCGCAACAGGCCGGGCGGGCGCTAGCTTGGGCCGGGCGGGCGCTGTGGAGGGGCCGGGCGGGCGGTAGAGAGGGCCGAGCGGGCGCTAGGAGGGGCCGGCTAGGAGTGGGCGCGTACGGCCAGAAGGCCGGCTAGGGGCGGGCGCGACGGCTAGGGGGGCGGCTAGGGGCGGGCGCGATGGCCAGGGGGCCGGCTAGGGGCGGACGCGACGGCCAGGGGGCCGGCTAGGGGCGGACGCGACGGCCAGGGGGCCGGCTAGGGGCGGACGCGACAGCCCGGGGGCCAGCTAGGGGCGGGCGCGATGGCCAGGGGGCCGGCTAGGGGTGGATGGGACGGCCAGGGGGGAGGGGGCCAGCTAGGGACGGGTCACGAGGGCGGCTAGGGCCTAGGGCGGAAGCGTGGGCGGGCGAGAGGAACCGAACCTACTCATGATACCATGTTAGAAAGAGAGAATGAATAGACTAGTGTGAGAAACCTAGAACATGTTCCTGTTAGGGTTGTACTCACTAGAAGCACACACCTAGGCTAGCCTATAACTTCTACATACAGCATATGTATAAGTTGACACTAGTCTTGGTTTTCTAGGGGTGTTGGAGGAATATCTCTGGTGTGGGGGTTAGCCAGAAAAAACTAGGTTTTCTATGGGTGTGGGAGGAATGTATCTGGCAGTCGGGGACTTAGGCGACAAAACTCTTGGTTCGGGAGGACGGGGGGAGGGGAAAGGGGGAGAAGGGGGGGCGGGGGAGGGGGGACGAGGAGATAGTCTCAGACGAAAAAATCTGTGCTATCTGAATTCGCAGACGAAATTCTACATCTTGTCTGAACTTTCAGACGAAATCTTATGGCTTGTCTGGACGATCCAACAAATTAATTTAGCCAGTAAAAAAATCAGATAAATGAAAAAGCAAGTCTGCTTTTCAGACGATCAAATCGATTTGGTCTAATATCTGAGACCCTGAGCCCGGCGCTTACAGCGGGGAAAGGCAGAAACACGCCCGTTTGGTGCCTTCTCTTCAATCACAGCCTGCTTGGGAATAACGAGCCCTCATTGTGGCAGCTACGCATTCAATGAGTAGAATAAATGAAAAGACTACCAGTAAAGGTTGGCGAATAATGAAATAGTCCTATATTGCAGTACAGACAAATGGTTTAGAATCAATTAGATTTTGTTTTTTGTTTTTTCATGGTGAATTCAAATGATTTCTGTTCTGCAAATTGGCTCCTTTTTATAGAATGTTTCTGTAAGCCTTTGTTGATCTTATTGCTATAGTGTGTTTTAAATTGACCCAGCTTTAAAGCCCCCGTCTCATAATTCTAGGATCCGACCAAGTGTAAAATGCTTGGTACCCAGTTACGCTGGCGAATATGAAGAGACAGGCAAGGAAGTGCCTCGGACAGTGTGTTTCTTGCTGGGGGGCGAGACCAATTGTAAAACCAGCAGTGAAATATGAGAATGAGCAAGTTCACGGAAGAATGGGGACGTTGGACCGTTCGATCTTCTAGAAGTTCAGATCCGACAGTTCAGCGAGTGTATAACTAAATCTACCGCTGTAAACGAAGTGGAATTTGGCTGTGCAGGAAAATTGGTTTCTGCACCGTCCGATGTAAAACGAACCTCCAGACTGATGTGCAAAACCTATCGCGAGCCACCCTTCCCCAAACCTGTTTTTGGTTCGGGTGTTTTACCGAAACAAAATGGTCTCGCCACTTGCGTTTCGTTTTCGTCATTTTTTTTTACCTCGCCTACCAATCAGAGTTTGCCTGCTCCAACCAAGTGTAAAACTCTAGTAATTATGAGACGGGGGCTTTAAGGAGTACAGTAGAATGTGGCTGTGCAGGTTTCGCTCCCACCTCATGGTGCTTCTGCTGCCACTCCACCTGTCCTCTGACCTGTCGCTCTCGCGACGCCCCCTTTTCACCAGAAAGCGCATCATGTCCCTCCCGCGACTCACGGAACCTCAAGTGGCGCACGCTTGCACGTCGCCTTTCGCACGTCGTCGCACTTAAAACGCTGTTCACCATGCGGCCCCGCCACCTCAATTTCGCCACTGCGGGTGCTCCGTCGCAACCCTCGGGATCGTCGCAGGAGTCGCAACAGGCGGCGCTGCAGTCGAGACAGGATCACCAGCAGTCGCAGTCGTCACAGAGGTCGCAAGAGTCGCATCCGGGGCAGTATCGCGTGCAAGCAGTCACGCGAGAAGGTCAAGCGGTCCACGCCAGCGCGGGCTGCGCGAATGGCGGGGCTGAAGATGCGCGGAGCGGCGGATGGGAAAGCGCGCGGAGCGACGGATTTGACGTTACGCGGAGCAGGCAGAATGTGACGGTCGAGGCACCAGCGGCAGCAGGCGGCGGTAGCGAGGCGCAGCAACGGCACGCTCAGCAGCAGCAGCAGCAGCAGCAGCAGCAGATACAACAGATACAGCAAGCGCAATCATTATCAGCGGCAGCGGGACTGCTGCAGGGTCGGAGCATGCAGGGAACGGCGCAACCACTCCAACACTTGCCCATGCCCATGCCTACACCTGCAACCCTGCCTGCACCCCTGCCTGCACCCCTGCCTGCACCCATGCCTGCACTCGGGCCGGCAGGCATTCCGGCACCTGCAGGAGCCGCCATGCCACTGCTTCTCACACCGCCACCACCACCAGAAGGGGCATTAGCAGTAGCAGCAGCGGAAAGGTCAGCAGCAGCAGCAGCAGCAGCATCAGCATCTGCACCAGGAAACCCATCAGCTCCATCCGCTCCATCAGCTCCATCCGCTCCATCCGCTCCATCCGCTCCATCCGCTCCATCCGCAGCAGCAGAGCAATCGCCAGCGGCAGCAGCAGCGCAGTCGCCAGTGCTGGGGGTACCCCCCCCGCCGTCCCTGCCCCTGCCCGCGGGCATGGCCATGGGCGTGCCCGTGCCCGTGGCTGTGCCCGTGCCGCTGCAACCCCCCCTGCCGTCCGCCATGCCCCTGCAGCCGTCCTCCTCGCCCTTCACCAGGTATCGCCCTTCACCAGGTATCGCCGCCTCCGTGCCTCCCAAAGCATCCGACCTGGCAATGCCCTGACCTGACCTGAGAATGCACGTGTGATCGCCATGTCGCCGTGCTCCACGGCGCCTTGCTGTCTTGCACAATCACGTGTGGTGTGGACCGTGGTGCTGTGTGCATTGCCATCCAGCCGCGCCTTGTTATTCCGTGCCTCTCTACGTCACACAGTTCACCCCTTGTCTTGTCTGCGCCTCTCCTTCTCGTTTTGCTCACACCATCCCCCCTTCACAGCAGGAAGGCACGCACAGACAAGAAGGACGCAGCAGCAGCAGCAGCGGTGCTGGCAGCAGCGGCGGCGGCGGCGGCGAGGGAGGCTGCAGCGGCGGGGGGCACGCCGCCCAGGAAGCGGTCGTGCAACTGCAAGAACTCGCGCTGCCTCAAGCTGTACGCCGCTGCCCCTGCCACCTACCTACTCCCACATTCTCGTGCCATTTCTTTGTAGTGGTTGGGGAATGGTGGGGAGGAAGGGGGGGGGTGGGGGACGAGAGAGTGAGATGCTTTTTTTCTTTCTCCAATGACAATGCTGCAGTAAGCTCTTATATATTCTCCTGGTAGCCGTGCTCGTAGTAGTGATTTCTTTTCCGTGGCTCAATCAAATCTTGAACTCTTCTCTATTCCCTCCTCCACATCCTCACTCCTTCCTCTCCCTCTCCCCCCACCCCCCCAGGTACTGCGAGTGCTTTGCGGCGGGGCTGTACTGCGAGGGGTGCAACTGCCTCAACTGCTGCAACACGCCATTTAACGAGGCGCAGCGGCAGGAGGCGGTGCTGGCCGTGCTGGACCGCAACCCCAACGCCTTCCGCCCCAAGATCGCCCCCCACAGCCCCTCCCACGCCCCGCCCTCCGTGCGCCCTCTCTCCCCCTGCCTCTCGCCCCCTCTGTTGCCCATGCGCTCCCTCACTGGAGCTGTCTTTACTATCAGAGGTGTGCACCCACACTAGGTGCACCCACACTAGGTGCACCCACACTAGGTGCACCCACACTAGGTGCACCCACACTAGGTGCACCCACACTAGGTGCACCCACACTAGGTGCACCCACACTAGGTGCACCCACACTAGGTGCACCCACACTAGGTGCACCCACACTAGGTGCACCCACACTAGGTGCACCCACACTAGGTGCACCCACACTAGGTGCACCCACACTAGGTGCACCCACACTAGGTGCTCCCGGCACTAGGTGCACCCAGACTAGGTGCACCCAGACTAGGTGCACCCACACTAGGTGCACCCAGACTAGGTGCACCCCCACTAGGTTCACCCACACTAGGTGCACCCACACTGGGTGCACCCGCACTGGATGCACTCGCACTGGGTGCACCCGCACAACCCGTACAACCCTTTCTCTTTGACCAGCCTATCCCCCCTGTGACGTGTGTGCACAACCTCACCTCCCATCCATCCCCAACCGCTCTCGCCCACCGCTCCCATAACAAGCACACACCCTCATCTCTCCCCCCCCATCTCCCCACCACACCACCCTCCCTCATCTCCCCCCCCCAGGGCGAGGCGTCGCATGTGCACACGCCGGTGGCGAGGCGGCACCGCGCGGGGTGCCACTGCCGCAAGAGCGGGTGCCTGAAGAAGTACTGCGAGTGCTTCCAGGCCAACGTGCTGTGCGGCGCCAACTGCAAGTGCCAGGACTGCAAGAACTTCGACGGCAGCGACGAGCGCCGCGCTGTCGTGGCGGGGCTGGCTGCCGCCGCTGCTGCTGCTGCCGTCACCCCGATCAAGTTTGAGGTGAGAGGCGTGAGGCGGGGTGGATTGGAGCTTCAGGGCATCGCGTGGGCTGTCCTCTCCTCTGCCAGAGTGAAGTGCGAGGTGAAGCGACCGGAGAGCATGAGGTGCTTGGCAGTAAGTTCAGCAACAGTAGGATCGTGAAAAGAAAAACTGGTATTCTTGTAGACTGTTGAATTGCTGCAAGTACAATCAAGGGGTTAATGTTGGTTACTCTCCAGAATTCTCTATTCTCTGTGCTTACGTATCTTCCCATCTCCATTCACCTTCCCACTACCCGCTGTGGTCTTACTCTAATCAGCGTCGCTTTCTTGCCTTGTGTGCTGCTCCCTCCCTCCCCCTTCCCGTCCTCCTCAGCTCTCCGCCTACCAGCGCTTGGTCACCCCCACCAAGGCGCCCGCCATCACGCCGCCGCCATCTGCACGCCCTACACAGCACTCCCACATGTCCCCGCACGGTCAAGCGCACGCACGCACACCCCCTCACTCACTTCCTCACTCACACTCCTACCCTCCCTTCCACCCCCGCCACTCCCCTGCCCCCGTCGCTCCCAACGCCGCTGCCGGGGAAGGGAGGGGGACGGGCGGGGGGGCATACGGGCCGGCAATGGTTGCGCATGGAATGGGGGGTGGCGAGGGGAGGGCTGGCAGTGCGCTCGGCAGCGGCGCGTCCATGCTGCCACCAGCTGCTTGCAGGTGCTCACAGTCCGATGGTGGGGGGGAGAGAGATGGGCGGGGGGAGAGATGGGCGGGGGAAGAGAGTTGGCCGGGAGGAGAGATGGGCGGGGGGCGAGAGTGGGCGGTGGGAGACCTGACAACGAGTAGACTGTATTCGAATTCGGACGAATATCAAATACAAATCGAGTCTACGTGGCTGCTCAAACTCGCCAAAACTCGATTTCCGATATTCAACTCGGATTCGTATTCGCCCAGCCATAACTCGAGTACTCGTTTTAGTACTCAAGTTTGGACATACCTGGCTCCTACTAGCATTTCATTGCCTAGCATCAAAGGTCCTGATGCTTTCGTTGCTACGCAATGCTGCTAAAAAGCTTCACTTGCCACTTGTACAACCCCTCCAATTTCTTGTGCAAACCTGCAAGCACGGCAACACCCAAAAAACCGACGACGAACCCCAAGGGTAACTTCACAAACCTTGTAAATGCTCATATGCCCAGAGTGCATTCTTTCAGAAACTGAGAACTTGATTGATTGAAATGAGCAAGAGCATACATCCTTAAGTACCGAGCATCGGAGAGGATGGGAAGGGATAAGGGAGAATCGGAGGGAATCCCAAGGGAATCCTCCCAAATCGTGGGGATTTGGGATGGATTGGGTTGGGATAGGTTGGGGATGAAAACATAGCTACACCCAACCTAACAAATATGAGTATCCCTAAAACCAAGAAAGTGTCAACACACAAAATTGTGCCAACCGAATTGCAGCCTATCTCTAACACACCCCCTAGGCTGCAACGTCGGAAGCCGTAGGGACGCCAAGTCCCATGGTACGGAGGAGACGATAGTGATCACGGCGTCCAAGAGCCTTCGTAAACAAGTCGGCGAGGTTGCAGTCAGAGGAAATATGCTTGACGCACAACTGCCCTCGCTGGACGAGCTCGCGCATGAAGAAGTGTCTCAATTCGATGTGCTTGGTTCGTTGGTGGAAGACAGGATCTTTGGTGAGGTGGATAGTGCTCTCGTTATCACACCACAGAGTCGGGGTCTGCTGAGGATACCCGAGCTCAGCCATGAGGTAGGTAAGCCATCGAGCTTCTTGGGCTGCCATGGTGCCTGCGTATAACTCAGCTTCGCAAGATGACAATGAGACGGATGATGAGCGTGTAGATCGCCAGCTGATGACACCACTGCCAAGGGTGAAGCAATAGCCTTGGGAAGAGCGGCGGTCAGCTTGATCATCAGCCCATGAGGAGTCGCTGTATCCCTCGAGGTGAGGAGGGGTCGTGCCACCGAGAGTGAGGACGTAGTCCTTGGTGGCTTGGAGGTAGCGAAGGACGCGCTTAGCAGCCGACCAGTGGCGATTGGTGTATCGACCGGCAGCAACGTAACGCGAGAGCACACTGATGGGGTAGGCGAGGTCGGGCCTTGTGCACATCATCGCATACATGAGTGATCCGACGAGCTCGGGGTATGCCTCATCACAAGGCTCAGGCGATGGAACTGATGGAGTGGTCAGATCATGCTGCAAGGGAAGGGGAGTGGCCACTGGCTTGGCGTTGTCCATGGCAAAACGCTTGAGGACGTTGTTCACATAGAACTCTTGAGAGAGAGTGATGGTTCGAGCTTCGCGATCCCGCGAGATTTCCATCCCAAGGTAGTTCTTGAGTTCACTGAGGTCCTTCATGGCGAGAGCGTCCCCAAGAGCTTGCTTAACAGCTGCCAGCTGATCGGAGTCCTTGGAGACGAGAATCATGTCGTCAACGTAGACAAGGATGAAGAACGGGTTGTCGTTCTTGCGAATGAAGAGACTCGGATCGGCTGAGGAGGGGTGGAAGTCGAGTGACTCGAGGGTTGCCTTCAGCTTCTTGTGCCATTCCCGAGGAGCCTGCTTCAACCCGTAGACTGGTCGATTCAGCTTCCAGACCGTGCCGGGTGGAAAGGGTAAGGGAAATCCTTGAGGACGTTCCATGTAGATGTCCTCGGGGAGATCCCCTTGGAGAAATGCAGCAGAGACGTCCATGGAGTGAACGTCAAAGTTGCATCGAGCAGCGATGTCCAGCAGGGTCCGAAGTGTGGGCAGTTTGGCTGTCGGAGAGAATGTGTCGAAGAAGTCCAGGCCCTTCTTCTGCGTGAAGCCTTTTGCACAGTATCGCGCCTTGAAGACTGGGAGTTCGCCAGGCAGTTGCTTGACGCGAAAAACCCATTTGCCACGGACAATGTTAACTCCTCGCGGAGGGGAGACGTCCGTGAAAGAGTTGTTGCGAATGAATGCTTCACACTCCGCGATCATGGCTGCGAGCCACTGGGGGGAGTGTGGTCCAGAGATGGCTTCATCATATGAGTTCGGGGTCGGGATGGATGGATTTTCCGAGAAGTTAAGAGTTGGAGCGTCGGCAAGGTCGGGGAAGAGATGGCAGAGCTGACGGATGGCAGCATTGATCTCAATCAGCTCCTCATGCCTATCCTCCAAGAGGCCAGGCATGGATGCACCCCCGGCAGGAGGAGGCGGATTGAGGGAGATGCGAACAGAGAGGGCGAGAGGCGGAGCGGGACCATGAGAGCGGGTGCGGTGAGCAATAGGGACAGGAGAGGAGGGAGGTGGCGGGGGAGCAGGTGGGACATCGACATAAGAGCGTCCGTGGCGACGGCGACGATAGGTGATGGGCGAGTCGGGAGGAGAGGTGGAGGTTGGAGGCGGAAGCGGAGGTGAAGGCGGGGAGGGAGGCGCGGGGGCAGGGGGAGCCACAGAAGGAGAGGGAGGTGGAGGGGCAGCTGCAGGAGCGGGTGCAGGGGGAAGTGCAGGCGCGGGCGGAGGTGAACGGGCAACTGAGCCAGTGGGCGAAGAGGGGTGAGAGAGAGTGGAAGGAGATGGGGAAGGTGAGAGTGAGGGGGCCGCAGGAGCGGCAGAGGGAGGAGGTGGGGTGGGTGAAGTATCGAAATCAGCCCACACAAGCGAAGGTGGAGCGGTGGGGGGTGGTGAAGAGAGGTAAAAAGGGCGACTCTCGTCAAAGGCGACATCGCGGCTACGAATGAGCTGATTGGTGGAGAGATTGAGGAAAAGGTAATCGGGAGAGTCCAGGTTGTGGCCGAGGTAGACACAGGGTTGAGCTTTGGGTGCAAATTTGCCGCCGTGGGTGCGACGTTCCTGAGGGTTGAGGAGGACATAAGCTGTACACCCCCATACGCGGAGAGGACGTGCACTGGGCTTGGTGCCGGTCCACAGTTCAGCGGGAGTGATGGCAGGCCGAAGAGGGTGAGGGTGAAGGTTGTACAGCAGCGTGGCATGAAGGAGGGCGTAACCCCAAAGGGAAGGTGGTGCACCAGCGTGAGTGAGAAGACAGCGAGCGATTTGCACGAGAGTGCGATTGCGACTTTCGGCAATGCCATTCTGCTGCGGACTGTGGGGAAGGGTGAAGGTCTGGCGAATGCCTTGGGAGGCACAGAACGCTTGAAGGGAATGGTTTCGAAATTCGCCACCGCCATCGGAATGGAGGCACTTGACTGAAGTGCGGAAATGATTTTGGGCTTGTCGAAGCCATGCGATGACGACATCTGGAACAGCTGCTTTGGAGGAGAGGAGGTGGACGGAGGCATAGCGAGAGTGATCGTCAACGAGCACTAGGAAGTAAGAGTGCCCGCCACGAGAGCGGACTGGAGCTGGGCCCCAGACGTCCATGTGGACGAGGTCAAGCGGGGCGGCTGCAGCAGAGGGCGAGGAAGGGTGAGGCAACTGGCATAGTTTGCTTTGCGCGCAGTCCAAGCATGGAGGAGCGGGAGAAGTGGAGGGTGGAGGAAGTGTGTTGGGCAGGTGAAGAAGCAACTTCTTAGACGCAAGCTCGGAGAGCATGCGGAAGTTGGGATGCCCAAGACGATGGTGGTAAAGAATGGTTGGATCGGTGAGCTGACGGCAGGAGCATGATGATGTGGTGGAGGTAGAGTGTGCTTCTGTGGAAGATGGAGGTACTTGGAGTGTGTAGAGGTTGTTGGCGGTCAGTGTGAAGCGTGCAAGTAGGGCATTGGTGGTGGGCTGAAGGAGATCACAGTGATTGGAATGAGCTGGGAAGATAGTGGTTACCCCTGCTCGTTGAATCTCATGTTGTGCAAGTAAATTGTGCCGAAGAGTGGGCACGCATATGCCAGTGACTGTGCCAGATGGGAAGGCTGGGCATGGAAGAGTGGAGGAACCATGGGCGACAGTTGTGAAGCTGGAGTCAGCGCCCAGAAGAGGAATGGGTGCTTGGTATGGTTTGAAAGACTCTTTGTCTCGGAGGACTGTGTGGGTTGCGCCACTGTCCAGGACGAATTCAAGCGGTTTAGATGGTGTTTGTGGAGACGTCGAGTACTGGGAACTGGTTTCATTGATCATGGGAAGGCCAGGGAACAACAGGTTGAGACGAACATCAGGACTAGGGGCATGAACGGCTGAGTCCTGACTATCCTGTGCCTCAACCTGGTTGAGCTGGCGCATGCGAAGCCAGTTGGGCGGCTTGGAGTTGATACCATTCTTGGCGAACCAGTCATCGTCCTTCTTTTTGAAACAGGTGGCGAGCGGGTGATTGGTGCCGCCGCACACCTGACCCGCACGGGGTCCCATTTTGATGACGTAAGGACAGGGTGGGTAGCGGTTACGAGTGGGTGGCGGATTGGGACGCGATGCTGGAGCCGGGACAGGAGTGCGAAGCGCATTTGCACGAGCCTGCGCAGTGTTGTTTTTTTCAGCAGAGAGAAGTGCGGAAGAGACTTTGGCAAAGGTTAGCTCTTCTGGCGGGAGATGGAGAAGCATGGAGCGGGTGACATTGTAAGAGGGGGTCAGCCCAACAAGCAGAGCTGCTGCAGGGGCTTGCTCTGGGAAGACAATGCCGAGTTGCTTCAGCTCCTGATGAATCCCTTGAATTTCAGCGACGTAATCTGCCATTCCAGGGCACTCCTCCAGACGCACTTGAAACATGCGGGGGATGAGGATCGCCACCCCCACAGCGGTTTTGTTGAGGAAGCGGTCGTTGAGGTACTCCCAGATGGCGTGCGCGGAGGGGTAGTTATGGTAAGTTTTGACGAGCTCGGAAGGGGTAGTGCCGACGAAGACGCCAATGATAGCGGCGTCGGCTTGCTCCCACACGCTGTAAGATTCCTCATACTTGGACATGGATTCCTCATGGGTTTTTAACTCTTCCCCTGTGGCTGTGGCCGAGAGCTTCTTGGGAAGGATCGGCATCTTTCCTTTGCCGCGATTGAGGAGGACATCCTTGAGGCAAATCCCCTCAATTTTGCGGCTTAGGAGATGCTTATCAACCCCATAGCTCCACTCCTTGAAGTTCGGGCTCGAGCCATTTGGGTCGAGGCGCAAGGGAGTGATCGGGTTTGAGAGAGACGCGGAAGGATACGCCATGATGCTCCAAGGACCCTTTCTCCGCGCGTAGCGCAGCTCTTAAGTCGCCGATAGGCAAAAAACAGGGTTTCCCTTTGCGGATTTTCAACACTCGGAGAAGAGGAATAGCCGATAAAGAGGGAAATCTGAACGCCAAAAATCTATGGAAACCCGCGATGTGCTGCTGCAATCCCGCTGCTCCGCGACCCCCCCTTTTCCGCTTCGCCGCTGCCCCCTTTCCGCTTCGCCGCTGCACCCCCCCGCTGTTGCAAGGGCGACGGGCGACAGCCCGTCCAGCTTCGACGAGCAGATGCGGGGCGACGGGCTCAGCCCGATCAGGTGCGACGAGCAGATGCAGGGCGACGGGCTCAGCCCGATCAGGTGCGACGAGCAGATGCGGGGCGACGGGCTCAGCCCGATCAGGTGCGACGAGCAGATGCGGGGCGACGGGCTCAGCCCGATCAGGTACGACGAGCAGATGCGGGGCGACGGGCTCAGCCCGATCAGGTGTGACGAGCAGATGCGGGGCGACGGGCTTCAGCCCGAAAAGAAGCGCCGCGCTGAGTTGAGGCGACTAGAAAAGCTTTGCGTCGTAAGACGCAAATGCTAGGCTCCAACGGAGCGAGAGGATCAAGAGCCGCTTAGGCGGAAACGAGCTCTGATACCATTTCAGAAACTGAGAACTTGATTGATTGAAATGAGCAAGAGCATACATCCTTAAGTACCGAGCATCGGAGAGGATGGGAAGGGATAAGGGAGAATCGGAGGGAATCCCAAGGGAATCCTCCCAAATCGTGGGGATTTGGGATGGATTGGGTTGGGATAGGTTGGGGATGAAAACATAGCTACACCCAACCTAACAAATATGAGTATCCCTAAAACCAAGAAAGTGTCAACACACAAAATTGTGCCAACCGAATTGCAGCCTATCTCTAACACATTCGTATTCGAATTCCAAGCAAAACTCGAACAAATAATTTGTATCGAGATATTGGACAACTATTCGAATGTGGAACTCGAACTCGAATTCGTTTTCGGTTCTTCAGGTCACGGGGAGAGAGAGGGGCGGGGGGAGAAAGAGGGGCGGGGGGAGAGAGAGGGGCGGGGGGAGAAAGGGGGGCGGGGGGAGAGACATGGGGTGGGGGAGAGAGATGGGGGGGGGGGGAGAGATGGGGGGGGGGGGAGAGATGGGCGGGGGGAGAGAGATGGGCGGGGGGAGAGAGATGGGCGGGGGGAGAGAGATGGGCGGGTGGAGAGAGATGGGCGGGTGGAGAGAGATGGCCGGGGGGAGAGAGTTGGACGGGGGGAGAGAGATGGGCGGGGGGAGAGAGATGGGGGGGGGAGGAGAGGGATGGGCGGGGGGAGAGAGATGGGCGGGGGGAGAAAGATGGGCGGGGGGAGAAAGATGGGCGGGGGGAGAGAGATGGGGGGGGGGAGAGAGATGGGGGGGGGAGAGAGATGGGGGGGGGGAGAGAGATGGGTGGGGGGAGAGAGATGGGGGGGGGGAGAGAGATGGGCGGAGGGAGAGAGATGGGCTGGTGGAGAGAGATGGGCGGGTGGAGAGAGATGGCCGGGGGGAGAGAGTTGGACGGGGGGAGAGAGATGGGCGGGGGGAGAGAGATGGGGGGGGGGAGAGAGATGGGGGGGGGAAGAGAGATGGGCGGGGGGAGAGAGATGGGCGGGGGGAGAGAGATGGGCGGGGGGAGAACGGCTACTTCTCTGCAATCCCATAGGTTGTCGATCAAATCTATGAGATGAAGTGTCTCATGGATGGAGAACATGTCTTCACGAAGCTCCTTGTTTTTCCTGGGTGAAGATCCCGTCGTGTTGATGTCGATCCATTTTTAACGAAGATGACTTCGTCAGAATAAATCGATCGTTATCGACATTAGTTAGAAGATGCGTCGATTGTGCAGTCGCTGGTCACGAATGTTGTCTCCAGGATGATGATTTCCCATAAGTGTAGTCTCTGCTGCATTCGTGCCGTCGATTACGCACCGATCCGACGATCCACGTTCTCCTGTCAGTTTTCTGCTTGCAACTATTACCAAGTAGGTAATGTAATGGCAGATTTCTGACTCTGCAGCTGATTTTGCGCCCCAAATTCGTGACCAAATGGAGGAATCCGAATTTGGTTGTCCAAATGTTGTCAGCGGTGTCGAAGGCGGCTCATTTCTGGTTTTGCGCGTCATTCTCTCTTTGTGCAGAAGTCGCGCTCCATCTTGTCCGTTGAAACACAAGTCGATCCGACGGTCCAAACACCAAGCGATCTGAGGAGACTCCTGAGTCGCGTTCAGCAGCTTTCGGTGCATGGGTTGACTCGTTTCCTGCAGCAATTCTCGGTCGTCGGTGTCGGCTGTCGAACGATCGGACGCTCCGAAGAACTTCGCGGCTTGCGAGGTCCCGTTCCCATTCGCGATGAGCGAAGAACTCGTCAGAAGGTTTCGTTTTCGCTTCGGTCGATCTGAAGCGTCGGTCCTCCATCGGACGGATGTCGTCGGTCGAAGCTCCGCAGATTTCCGCGCAACTCCAAGTGTTGTGGCGAACTGCGACCTTCTCCGAATGTCGCAGGGGAGGTTCCGCCAGAAGTGACGCGTTCGCGAGGTCGAAGCCGTTTGCCCCCGCGAAAAATCGGCTCCGTCGATGCAGTCCATCGAACGGTTGGCGAGGCATCTCGCCTTCGACGGGGACCCCAGGTGCAACTGCGCAAGGTTAGTCGAAACTTAAACGAAAGTGCATTGTACTTACAGGAATTGAAGTTTCGACTCCATCCTCGGCGTGCTCCTGGGGGCCCAGCGGTTAAGCGTTGAGCTGAAACCTTGGCTCTGATTACCAAGTGTCACTGGATCGAATGCGTCGAGGAAATGTTTGCTCAATGTTGCCCTATCAATCAGTACAAGGTGCTTTTATACTTCGAGAGTACATCAGGTAACCAAGTTTATCATATCCAAAGGAAATAGACCCTTCTAGAAATAGAATCACCATGCGTATAGCCACGCGAGGCTATTGGCTATAAATGATTACTGCAGGATTACGCTAGATATAGCGCGCCAGTACATCCCGAGCCTAGTCGGTGATATAATTATAATAACAGGATAAACCAAAGGATAATGGAAAATGAGGAATAGGAAACCAAATGAGATGAGATAAAGACCCAATGAATCAGGATAAAAAGAGGAATTAAATAGAAACGAAATATGGAAAGGGGAAATTGGTGTAACGGAGTCGTACTCTCACATGCGCTGCTGCACGGCGGGGGTGGTGCTGCAGAAGGAGGGGCGGAGGGGGTGCTGTCAAATGGTATCTAGATGGAGGGAGGGTGAGGGGACTTAGGTCGGGAGGTGGGGGCAGGGATGGGAGGACAAAAAATGGGATCCATGGACCGTGTATGCGGGCGATGTCGAAGAACAAGAGGAGGTTGATCCTGGGCAGGAGCGGGGCCAGGGGCAGGAGCGGCAGGATAGGTGGCGGCTGGGGCGGGATCAGAGGCGGAGGTGGAAGCGGGAGTAGGGGCAGGAGGAGGGGTGGAAGCGGAGGAGGGGGAGGGGGAGGGGGGGATTACCAAATCAGAGGCGTCGTCAGATTGACCAGAGGACGGGGGAAGTGGGGGAGGGGGAGGTGGAGGGACAAGGGGGGGAGGGGGGAGAAGAGGCAGGGAGATCGTGTCGGACACAGTGAGAGGGCGAGGGGTGACGGTAAGAGGGTCACTTGTGGGGGGGGAAGAGTAGTACGGGGTGGATTCGTCGAAGACGACGTCCCGACTACGTATGAGACGACCTGAGGGGGGATGGAGGAAAAAGTAATCAGGGGAAGAAGGGTTGTGCCCAAGGAAGATGCAGGGAAGGGCCTTGGAGGCAAGCTTCCCTGCTGTGCGAGAGCGGTCGGCGGGGTGTATGAGGACATGAGCCTTTGAGCCCCAGACGCGAAGGGGAGAAATATCGGGCTTGGAGGACGTCCAAAGCTCGGTAGGGGTAGTGGAAGGACGGAGGGGGTGGGGGTAGAGGTTAGTTAGGAGGGTCGCATAGAGGAGGGCATAGCCCCAAAGAGAGGGCGGGCAGGAGGCATGGACTAGGAGACACCGAGCAGTTTTAGTGATCTCTCGAATCCGAGCCTCGGCCAGACCATTCTGCTCTGGGGAGTGCGGAAGGGTATGGGTATGGCGAATGCCATGGGAAATGCAGTATGAGGAAAACTGCTGGTTTAGGAATTCGCCGCCTCCATCGGAGTGGAAGCGACGAACGGGGCGTTTAAAGTGTGTACGGGCCTGCTCTGCCCAAGCGATGATCGCAGCCGGAGCCTCGGCCTTCGTTCGAAGGAGAGAGACCGAGGTATACTGGGAGTGATCGTCGACGAGGACAAGAAGGTAGTGCTGACCCTGGCGGGTAGGGGAGGGGTTGGGTCCCCAGAGATCCATATGGACAATGTCCAGGAGCTCAAGGGCATATGAGGGGTGGCTTTTATGAGGGAGTTGTTTCAGCTTAGCCTGAACACAAATGATGCAGGGAGGGGCAGGAGAGGGAGGGAGTGGGGGAACGGTGAGTGGAAGGCCTTTGAGAAGGCCAGTGGCAACAGTGCGTTGGAGGGTGGCAAAATTGGGATGCCCAAGGCGGTGGTGGAGGAGTAGGGCGGGATGGGAAAGATCTCGGCAGTGGCATTGGGATGGGGGGGGTGCTGGAGGAGAGGAGGGACTGGTGGGTGGGGGTTGAAGAGGAAAAAGTGTAGGGGGACCGAAGGGGGTAAGAGAGGCAGCTTGACACAGGGCGGGACGAGGAGTGCGAAGGGTGTACATACGAGAGGTAGGACATAAGGGGACACAGGTGATGAATCGACCAGAGGTGGAGTGATACAAGTCACAGTGGGAAGCGTGGCCGGGGTAGATCGTAGTCACCCCGGCACATTGGAGGGCACCTTGGGAGACAAGGTTAGTACGAAGTGAGGGGATGTGAAAACCTGTGAAGGAGCCAGAGGGAAAAAGGGGACAGGGGAGGGTGGAGGTGTGAGTGGTGGTGATGGAGAAACTGGAATCTGCCCCAAGGATGGTGGAGGGGGAGGTGAGGGGAGCAAGATGACCGGCGTCACGGAGGACCGTGGCGCTTGCTCCACTGTCAATTACGAACTCAAGGGGAGGGGAGGAGTGGGTCCGGGAATACTGGAAAGAAGCTTCATTAATAGATTCGGGATACAGAATAGTGGGATCGGGCTGAGTAACATGACCTAAGAAACTAGCAGAGGGGAAGGGAGTGAAACCGGGAGGACCAGAGGGAGTCTGGGCAGTTGTGGCCGGCATAGCACTCGAAGCGGAGGATTGCTGAGATGGGGGAGGAGGAGTCGGCTGCTGCTGCTGCTGTTGCGGCTGTTGCTGCTGCTGCTGCTGCTGCTGGTACTGCTGTTGGTACTGCTGCTGGTACTGCTGCTGAAACGGCTGTTGCTGCTGGGGGTACTGCTGCTGCTGCTGGGTGTACTGCTGCTGCTGCTGTGGAGGGAGAAGGGATTGAACCTGCTGGAGGACTTGGGGGCGGCGAAGTCTTTGTCGGCGAAGAGTGTAGTCGGCGAAGTCTTTGTCGTACTTAGTGCGGAGGCGAGCCCAGCGGTCAGGATCAGTGTTGTACTCGGGGTGTGTGGGCTTGATGGGCTCAGGTCAGAGGGGGGATCAGGGGGGGAGGGGGGCTTTCCTGCCTCAGTGTCCTCGAGGATGTCGAGGAGGCAGAAGTCGTTGATGATTGTGGAGCCGAGTTCCAGTTGATAGGAACCACGCCATCGGCGAGTTCGAGTGCATCGATGGTGCTGATGTCAACCGCAAGCGAGTCCGTTGCCATGGCGGGTGGGAATCAGCTACCTGCAGCCAACTACTAGCGACCAGGGACTGGCTTCCAGCGAAATGGGGGGAGGGGGAGGAGGAGAGAGGAAGGAGAAAAAGGACGGGTGCGCGGAGCGCAGCTCTTAAGTCGCCGCAGGCTTGGAATCCTTCCACGAAAGGGTCGTCGAGCGGCACAGATGGCGAGATTGCGTCGCGTGCTAATGCGTGATGCGCGCGACGAGTGGTGACGACGGGAGGGTCGCGAAATGCGGCGACGAGCAACCGCGAAATGCAGTGACGGAAAGGACGATAAATGCAGCGACGAGAGGGCCGCGAAATGTGGCGACGAAAGGGCCGCGAAATGCGGCGACGGGAGGGCCGCGAAGTGCCGCGACGAGCGGCCGCGACAAGCGGCGACGGGAGAGCCGCGAAATGCGGGGACGGGAGAGCCGCGAAATGCAGCGACGAACGGTCGCGACGAGCGACAACGGGAGAGCCGCGAAATGCGGAGACGAACGGTCGCGACGAGCGACGACGGGAGAGCCGCGAAATGCGGCAGCGGCGCGGAAATGCGCGCGGAGAGGGCACGGGGTGCGCTAGGGGGGGGCAGCGCGGAATGCACGGGAGCAAGGCGCAAAGTGCGCGGAGGGAGGGCGTGGGAAGGAACACACTTTCAGGATCGTTCTAGGAGGTGGCGTGAGCCATAGGCTTTGAATACCATGTGAGAAGAGAAGTTGATGATGTTATTGAGGAAATGAGGGTATACATAGGTGTGAGGGTAAGAAAAGGGGGGGGGGGGGTTTGGTTGGGACCTTGGCCAAGATTATTGGTCCCCACCAATAATGGAGTTGGGAATTATTGGGGGGTCCAATAATCCCAGCCAAGATTATTGGAGGGTCCAATGATCTTGGTAGGATTATTGGGGCCTCCAATAATTGGGAGGTCAAGCCCATGGGGGGGGGGCCAATAATGGCCAAGCTTGGAACCCAAACAAGGTGGGAAGCCAACCCCCAACCTAGGGTTACTACACCCAAGTAGAGATAGGTTGCTAACAATGACCTAAGCCTTATAAACGATGTAGGCTACTATAGAGTAGGGGAATATTCTAACAAGATGGGAGGGGGGAGAGAGTTGGGCAGGGGGAGAGAGATGGGCGGGGGGAGAGAGATGGGCGGGGGGAGAGAGATGGGCGGGGGGAGAGAGATGGGCAGAGGGAGAGAGATGGGCGGGTGGAGAGAGATGGGCGGGTGGAGAGAGATGGCTGAGGGAAGAGAGATGGCCGGGGGGAGAGAGTTGCGCAGGGGGAGAGAGATGGGGGGGGGAGAGAGATGGGCGGGGGGGAGAGAGATGGGGGGGGGAGAGAGATGGGCGGAGGGAGAGAGATGGGCGGAGGGAGAGAGATGCGCGGGTGGAGAGAGATGGGCGGGTGGAGAGAGATGGGCGGGTGGAGAGAGATGGCCGGGGGGAGAGAGTTGGACGGGGGGAGAGAGATGGGCGGGGGGAGAGAGATGGGGGGGGAGAGAGAGATGGGCGGGGGGATAGAGATGGGCGGGGGAGAGAGATGGGCGGGTGGAGAGAGATGGGCGGGTGGAGAGAGATGGCCAGGGGGAGAGAGTTGGACGGGGGGAGAGAGATGGGCGGGGGAGAGAGATGGGGGGGGGGGAGAGAGATGGGCGGGGGGAGAGAGATGTGGGGGGGGAGAGAGATGGGCGGGGGGAGACAGATGGGCGGGGGAGAGAGATGGGCGGAGGGAGAGAGATGGGCGGGTGGAGAGAGATGGGCGGGTGGAGAGAGATGGCTGAGGGGAGAGAGATGGCCGGGGGGAGAGAGTTGCGCGGGGGTAGAGAGATGGGGGGGGGAGAGAGATGGGCGGGGGGAGAGAGATGGGGGGGGGGAGAGAGATGGGCGGGGGGAGACAGATGGGCGGGGGAGAGAGATGGGCGGAGGGAGAGAGATGGGCGGGTGGAGAGAGATGGCTGAGGGGAGAGAGATGGCCGGGGGGAGAGAGTTGCGCGGGGGTAGAGAGATGGGGGGGGGAGAGAGATGGGCGGGGGGGAGAGAGATGGGGGGGGGAGAGAGATGGGCGGGGGGAGACAGATGGGCGGGGGAGAGAGATGGGCGGAGGGAGTGAGATGGGCGGGTGGAGAGAGATGGGCGGGTGGAGAGAGATGGCTGAGGGGAGAGAGATGGCCGGGGGGAGAGAGTTGCGCGGGGGTAGAGAGATGGGGGGGGGAGAGAGATGGGCGGGGGGGAGAGAGATGGGCGGGGGGAGAGAGATGGGCGGGGGAAGAGAGATGGGCGGGGGGAGAGAGATGGGCGGGGGGAGAGAGATGGGCGGGTGGAGGGAGATGGGTGGGGGGAGAGAGTTGGGCAGGGGGAGAGAGATGGGCCGGGGGAGAGAGATGGGCGGGGGGAGTGAGATGAGCGGGTGGAGAGAGAGAGGGGTGGGGGGAGAGAGATGGCCGGGGGGAGAGAGATGGCCGGGGGAAGAGAGTTGAAGGAACTAGCTTGGAAGAGAAAAGATTGGATTGAGTAGGGAGCCAAGAGGCTCTTTTTGTACAAAACAAGGAGCAAGAAAGAGTTGGAAGGGAAGCTCTCCTATTGGCCATAAAGTGGACCAATGGGGGAGGTTGCTTGTAGGGCAAGCAACCACAAAAGTGTGGTGCTCTCCTATTGGTCATAATGTGGACCAATGAGAGAGATTGCTTGGAAGGCAAGCAACCACAAAGTGTGGTGCTTGGTGATTGGTTGGTTCCTAGGACCAAAGACCATTTGGTTGGAATAGTGCCAACCAAATGTCTAGGACCAAATCCAATCTTGACCAACCCAAATGTGGGGTTGGTCAACCCAACCAACAACCCCCCAATAATTATAATGACTACACCTCCTAATCTAGGCATGCATGTTGTATAGATATATATGTTACAACACAACCCCCCAACATGCATAAGACTAGAGGGCTTGAATCAGGAGGCGGACGAGGGAACGGGGGGAGCGAGGCCAAGAAGGCGAAGGAGGGATGAGTGGGCGGCGTGGGGGAGGGCTTTGGTGAAGATGTCGGCAAGATTGGCAGCAGAGTCAATCTTGCCCAGCTGGAGGTGGCCACCCTGCACAAGCTCGCGAATGAAGTAGTGGCGAAGCTCAATGTGCTTGGAGCGCCCGTGGAACACAGCATCCTTCGTGAGGTGGATGGTGCTGGCGTTGTCGCACCAGATGGTGGGACAGCGCTGAGGGGCACCAAGCTCCTCAAGAAGGAAGGAGAGCCAGCGGGCCTCCTGCGCAGCCATGGTAGCGGCATACAGCTCTGCTTCGCAGGAGGAGAGGGCAATGGAGGAGGAGCGGGTGGAGCGCCAGCTGATGAGGCCGCTGCCAAGAGAGAAGCCATAGCCCTGAGAGGAGCGGCGGTCAGGCCTAGAGTCAGCCCAGGAGGAATCAGAGTAGCCAGTGAGGAGGGGAGGGGAGGGGCCGCCAAGGGTAAGGACGTAGTCCTTGGTCCCCCGAAGGTAGCGGAGGACACGCTTGGCCGCTTGCCAGTGGGCGGCATCATGCTTGCCGGTACCAACGAAGCGGGCCAAAACGCTGATGGGGTATGCTAGGTCAGGGCGGGTGGAGACCATGGCATACATGAGAGAGCCGATGAGCTCAGCGTAGGGGTGGGAGGAGGAGGAGGGGGAGGTGAGGGGAGTGAGATGGTGCCCAACAGGAAGAGGGGTGACCTGAGGGGTGCCTCGAGCCATGTCGAACCGCTCCAGGACCTGCTGCAGGTAGTGGCCCTGGGAGAGGGAGATGGTGCGAGCAGCACGGTCGCGGGTAATCTCCATGCCGAGATAGTGCTGCAGCCCCCCTAGATCCTTACACTTGAGCCGGCTGCCAAGCTCACGCTTGACGCGCTCGAGCTCGGCGGAGTCGGCAGTGATGAGGATCATATCGTCGACATAGACGAGGATGTAGAAGGGGGAGGGGGAGGTGCGGAGGAAGAGGCTGGGATCGGCACGGGAGGTGCTGAAGCCAAGCTCGGCGAGGGTGGCAGCAAGCTTGGCATGCCATTCCCTTGGTGCCTGCTTGAGCCCATAGACCGGCCGACGCAGCTGCCAGACAGAGTCGGAAGGAAAGGGGAGGTGGAAGCCTGCAGGACGCTCCATGTAAATGAGCTCGCGCAAGACCCCCTGGAGGAAGGCGTTGGAGACGTCCATGGAGTGAATCTCCATGTTGAGGCGAGCAGCGAGGTCGAGGACTGCGCGAATGGTAGCGGGCTTGGCGGTGGGAGAGAAGGTGTCGAAGAAGTCGACAGCGTAGCGCTGGGTGAAGCCCTTGGCGACGTAGCGGGCCTTGTAGACCGGCGGCTCGCCAGGAAGCTGCTTCACCCGAAACACCCACTTCCCTTTGACTACGTTCGTGGTAGAGGGAGGGCGGGGCACATCCACAAAGGAGGAGTTGGCAATAAACGCCTCCAACTCCTTGAGGATGGCCGCGAGCCAGAGGTGAGCGTCAGGGCACGCCATGGCCTCCTCGTACGTGGCGGGGACGAAGATGGTGGGGGCGGAGGAGAAGGCGAAGACTGGTGTGCCGCTGAGGTCAGGGGAGATGGGTAGGACGGCTGGATCATGCATGTGGAGGTTGAGGAACTCCTCATGGGAGTCCTCGAGGAGGGAGGAGTGGAAAATGAATGGGAGGACTGCTGCTGCTGCTGCTGCTGAGGATGCATCTGCTGCTGCTGCTGCTGAGGCGGCTGCTACTGCTGCGTCTGCTGCCGCCGCTGCTGCTGCTGCGGGTGAAGGCGAGGAAGAAGTGACGGCTGCTGCTGCTGGTGCTGCTGCGGTGGGTGGAACTGCTGCTGCAGCTGTTGCTGCTGCTGTTGGGACTGCTGTACTGGAGCTCGACGGCAGGGTTGGGCTGGTGTTTTGTTGTAAGACTGTCTGAAAAAGGAGGTCCATGAGAGGGGAGAGAGGAGGCAAGGTAGAGGAAGAGAGGATAACAGGAGGCGGGGCACCTAGGACTGCGTCACGCGACCTGGTGTGGGGATACCGGGTGAGGATGGAGCGGGTGGGACGCAGGGGGGGAGGGGGTCGCGGGGGAGAGGGGGGAGGAGGGGAGGGGGGAGGATGGGAGGGAGCGGAGGGGGAGGAGTGGGACGGGGAGGCGGGGGGGAAAAAAGGGTCAGGGTCAAATATGTCACCAGAGGAGGGGGGAGCACTAGGGGCCGAGGCGGCGGGGAATGGAGGAGGCGGAGCGGGGGGAGGATGGGAGGGGGAGGGAGAAGAGGGGGTGGGATAGTGTCGGACCAGTTGAGGGGCCTGGGAGAAGGGGCGAGAGGGTCAGTGGGGGGAGGAGTGGAATAGTAGGGTGTGGACTCATCAAAGACTACATCCCGACTGCGGAGGAAACGACCTGAGGGGGGGTGAAGGAAGAGGTAGTCCGGGGAGGAGGGATTATGACCAAGGAAGATGCAGGGGAGGGTACGGGAGGCGAGCTTTCCCATGGTGCGGGGGCGGTCCGCAGGGTGAATGAGGACATACGCCCTGGAGCCCCACACACGGAGGGAGGAGACGTCAGGCTTGGCCGACGTCCAGAGCTCGGTGGGAGTGGTGGAGGGAAGGATAGGGTGGGGGTACAGGTTAGTAAGGAGGGTGGCGTGAAGGAGGGCATAGCCCCACAGAGAAGGGGGGCAAGAGGCATGGACGAGGAGACACCGAGCAATCTTGGTGATCTCCCGAACACGGCTCTCGGCCACACCGTTCTGCTGGGGGAGTGGGGGAGGGTGTGAGTCTGGCGAATGCCATGAAGCTCACAGTAGGAGGCTACCTGACGATTAAGGAATTCGCCACCGCCATCAGAGTGAAGGCGGCGCACAGGGCGGCCAAAGTGGGTGCTCGCCTGCTTGAGCCAGGCGATGATCGCAGTCGGAGCGTCACCCTTCGAGCGAAGAAGGGAGACGGAAGAATATCGGCTGTGATCATCGACCAGAACAAGCATGTAGCGATGACCCTGGCGGGAAGGGGAGGGGTTGGGGCCCCAGAGGTCCATGTGAACAAGATCAAGCGGCTGAGCAGCAGCGGAGGGGGAACTCCGATGCGGCAGCTGCTTGAGCTTGCTCTGGACACAGACGGAGCAGGGAGGGGCAAGGGAGGGAGGGAGGGGAGGGAGGGTGAGGGGAAGACCTCGAAGGAGACCTGAGGAGACGGTCGAGCGGAGGGTGGCAAAGTTGGGGTGACCAAGCCTGTGGTGGAGGAGGACGGTGGGATGGGAGAGGGATCGACAGGAGCAGGTTGGGTCAGGGGGGAGGGGGGGAATGGTTGGGTTAGAAGGAGGGAGAGGAGGGGGGGAGATGTGAGGTGGGAGGAGGGAGCGGGAGACTGCCTGGGCAGAGGGAAGACGAGGAACTCGAAGGGTATATAGGCGGGAGCGAGGACAAAAGGGAATACGGGAGAGGAGGCGACCTGTGGGATGGTATAGGAGGCAGTGATTAGCGCGACCTGGGAAGACGGTGGTGATACCGGCCTGCTGCAGGGATCGCTGGGAGAGGAGGTTAGTACGGAGGGAGGGGATGTGTAAACCAGTGACGGTACCTGAGGGGAAGAGGGGACAGGGGAGGGTAGAGGTGTGGCGACAAGGAATAGAGAAGCTGGAATCGGCACCAAGGAGGGAGGTGGGGGCTGGGAGAGGGTGAAGGGTACCAGCATCACGAAGGACGGACTCGGTGGCTCCACTGTCAAGGACAAAGTCCAGCGTGGTGGAGGGGGAGGATGTGGGGAGGAGGTGGGACGGAGTACTGAATCACATTCTCATTAATAGCAGCCGAATACATGGAAGGGGCGGGGGTTCCAGCCTGACTAACCATGCCAACAAAACCAGAGGAGGGGAAGGGAGTCACACTGCCTGTGGCTGAGGGCGCGGGAGACGCGCCCGAGAGGTGAGCTGCGGAAGCGGCGGTGCCGGCGGTCCAAGCGGGGTAGGGCTGCTGGGGGGAGCCATAGGAGGAGGTGCAAGGGGGAGCTGCGACTGGAGGTCAAGCTGTTGCTGGAGCTGGTGGAGCTGCTGCTGCAACTGGGAGAAGAGGTGATGCTGCCCCTGCTGCTGCTGCTGCTGGAACTGCTGCTGCTGCTGCTGGAACTGCTGCTGCTGCTGCTGAAACGGCTGCGGCAGGATCTGCTGCGGTGTCTGCTGCTGCTGCTGTTGCTGAGAGATGGCCTGGTGGGCCAAGGGGGAGGAGACGGGCTGAAAAAGAGGGGAGGTACGAACCTCCTGAGGAGTGGGGCGAGGAGAGAGGGAGGACCAGCGGGGGGGGTGCCGGTGTTGCCGCGGGCAAACCACTCATCACTGAGCGCTTTGAAGCAAGAATCAGTGGCATGAGTGGTCTGGCCGCAGCGCTGACCCCGCGTGGGGCCATAGCGAGGGAGATACTGGCAAGGAGGAAAGGGGGCTGCTGCACCACGTCCTGCGCCATTGGTACCACGACCCGCGCCACCACCACGACCAGCGCCACGCCCTCCCCCACGCCCTCCCCTGGTGTTGCGCTGCTGAGCAACAGCGGCAGTGGAGGAGGAATGGCGCAGGAGGTCGGCCTCGGTGGTGATAATCCACTGGGCGACTTCAGCCGGGGTGATGCGCTTGTCGATCAGCTGCATGTAGGCGATCTTATGGGTGTCGAAGGCAGAAGTCAAGCCTTCAAGGAGGTGGCAGCAGAGCACAGGGTCCGGGTACGGTACGCCAAGAGCCGCCAGGCGCCGAGCGAGGTCGAGGACGCGACGCGTGAAGGCAGCTGCGCCGGTGGTAGAGTCCATGGTGAGGCTCTGGAACTCCTTGATGAGGGAGTAGAGGGTGGCGACGTCCTGCCGATCATAGAGATCGGTGAGGACCCGCCAGAGGTGGGAGGAGGAGGTGGGAGCAAGCTCGCGCTTGAGGGTGGGAGGAATGGTGGCGAGGAGGATGGTGAGCGCGCGCCGGTCAGCGACACGCCAGGCAGCGAGGTCGGTGATGTATGCGCGCTCGCGACTGACGTACTCCGCGAGCGCCGCCTGATACGTGTTGTAGGCGGCAGTGGCGGCGTCATGCTCGGCGCGGGAAGCCTCGAAGAGCAGCTGCTGGCGGACGTGGTCGGTGAGGCCGGCACGGTAGGTGCGGATGGCGGTCTCGGAGCTCTGAGGGTCGTTGACGTCAGGGGCGAAGGTTGGAGGATCGCCGGGGCTGACGGGAGGATCGCCAGGAGGAGGAGGTGCAGGGCCCGCGGGTGCATCCGGCTGGGCAGGCTGAAGACCGCGCTCCTCGAGATGGACAACGGCTTTCAGGTTGTAGCCGTTGACCGTCACCGAGGAGAGAAGCACCGTGACGGTTTGGGCATAGGAATGCCAATTGACCGCGGTGTTGTCGGGCAGCAGCTCAAGAGCGTCGACGGAGGTAAAGTCCACGGAGGAATCGGACGCCATTGAGGAGGAGGGGAAGGAAGGGGGGGGGGGGGGAGGAGGAGGAAAAGGGAAAGGAGGAGGAAAGGGAAAGGAGGAGGAAAAGGAAAAGGAGGAGGAAAAGAGAAAGGAGGAGGAAAAGGGAAAGGAGGAGGAGAAGGATAGGTGCGCGGAGCGCAGCTCTTAAGTCGCCGAAGGCGACTTAAACGAGCTGCGCGACGCGCTCCAAGGAGGATGCGGCGACCGGCTGCACGTCGAAACGGCGCGACGACGACGCGACGGTAGAATCGACGACGGGCGGGCGCACGCGGCGGAGAAATCGACCGACGACCGCGCGCGCGCGTCGGCAGAAAGGCGACGGGCGCGCTGAGAGGATTTGTCGACGGGCGTCCACGGGAGCCGTGACGCACAGGCGCGCGGAGAGCGCGATGGACTGGTGTGCGCAAACGCGGAGGGCGCGCGACGGGAGGGCGCGACGGGAGGGCGCGACGACGGACCGCACGACGGAGGAGCGCACCAACGGGCGCAGTAGGAGGATGCGACGGCCGGAAGCGCGTCGTCAGGCGCGACGGGAGGCGCACGACGGAAGGGAGAGCGGGCGCGGCAAAAAGGCACGCGACGGGAGGAAGAGCGGGCGCGACGGAGTAGCGCGGCGAGAAAGGGCGCACGGGGGGCGCGGGAAGTAGCCTAAGGAAGGGCTAGACTTCGAAGATGAGGAGGGACAGCATAGGGCCGTGCTAGTTAGGATCGAATCGAGGTGGCGTGAGCCATTGTGGCTCTGAATACCATGAAGGAACTAAGCTTGGAAGAGAAAAGATTGGATTGAGTAGGGAGCCAAGAGGCTCTTTTGTACAAAACAAGGAGCAAGAAAGAGTTGGAAGGGAAGCTCTCCTATTGGCCATAAAGTGGACCAATGGGGGAGGTTGCTTGTAGGGCAAGCAACCACAAAAGTGTGGTGCTCTCCTATTGGTCATAATGTGGACCAATGAGAGAGATTGCTTGGAAGGCAAGCAACCACAAAGTGTGGTGCTTGGTGATTGGTTGGTTCCTAGGACCAAGACCATTTGGTTGGAATAGTGCCAACCAAATGTCTAGGACCAAATCCAATCTTGACCAACCCAAATGTGGGGTTGGTCAACCCAACCAACAACCCCCCAATAATTAGAATGACTACACCTCCTAATCTAGGCATGCATGTTGTATAGATATATATTTTACAACATCTTCATCCAACCCTGCCTCTTCATCCAATCCTGCATCTTCATCCAACTTCCTGCCTCTTCATCCAACCCTGCCTCTTCATCCAATCCTGCATCTTCATCCAACTTCCTGCCTCTTCATCCAACCCTGCCTCTTCATCCAACTTCCTGCCTCTTCATCCAATCCTGCATCTTCATCCAACTTCCTGCCTCTTCATCCAACCCTGCCTCTTCATCCAACTTCCTGCCTCTTCATCCAACCCTGCCTCTTCATCCAACCCCCCACCCACCCCGTCGTGTCAGAACCCCCCAGCATTCCCCACGCTGCGAGCATCAGCATCAGCAAACGAGGCGTCGCTGCGCATGTCCTCGCTCATGCTGCCGCCCTCGCTGTACCCCTCGTACTGCCCCGACCCCTCGCCCCCCACGTCCATCTCCTTGACACTGCCGTTGTCCATGTGACGCTCTATGGTGCGCCGGCTCACGCCCCCTGCCTCCATGCGCATCATTGCCACAAACTCGTTGTAGTCCACGCGCCCGGACTGCATAGTTGGGAATGGGTTTTGGGGGATCGTTGGGATGGGGGGATGGAGGTAAGAGGGTTCGCACAGCAGGCAATCACCTCAGGTCCGTGCCTCCGCCCTCATCCTGTCACACATTCGTTGTGGTTCACTCCGCCAGGCTAGCGCATACGGGGGGAGAAGGGGGGGCCGAGGGAATGGGGTGTGCGTGAGGGGTGAGGGTGATGGGTGAAAAGGGGGGGGGGTGGGTGGGAGGGGAGAAGTTAGGGTGTCGGGGAGGGTGGAATGGAACACATACAGGAAGTTGAGCATGCAGTTAACTGCCCGCTCCCTCTCTCCTCTCCCTATTCTGCCAAGCACTTCCGTAGCACTCTGTAGCATGTACTGGAAAATGGACCGTGCCCTCGTCCTCTTGCCATACTGCTCACCACCTGACCAACTCACGCTCTGCCCGCACACACATGCACATGGTGCCTAAACGAGCATCTCACCGCGTCGCGGTTGACCTCGTGCATCATCTCCTGCACGACCACGCGGTTGACTTTGTACTTGTCGCAGGCGCGCTGCAGCTCGGCCTGGCTGATGTAGCCGCTGAGGTCCTGGTCGAACACGGAGAACGCCTGGAAGAGGTTCTCCTGCTGCTCCACCGCGCACAGCTGCAGCAGCGCCACAAAGAAGTCCGGGTAGTCAAACGCCACCTTGCCGTCCAGACAGATCTGCCAGGGGGGTGGGCGGAGCGGATGGGACTATGAGTGACCATTACACTATGGATGAATGCACTGCACAATGTAGGGTGTACTGCCACGTTAGAAAGAATGTATTCCTGGAATACAGACATAATCCTACCTCCTGCCTGTGTAAAGGGCTCCCACCGGACGTTAGCGCAGCCTCACCCACCAGTAGAGAACCGTCACCTCCCGTTCAAGGACCCTCACCTCCTGGATCATCTCACCTCCTGGATCATCTGTGCCACGGCATCAGCGGGGTCGTGGAAGCCGCGGCTGTGCAGCGCGTTGGGCAGCGCCGCGATGGGCACCACGCCCGAGGCCGAGGGGTCGAGGCGGCCCAGGTCCGCCTGCAGTGCGCGGATGTCGTCCTCGCTCATGGCCTCCACCATGGCCTGGGGGGGGGCGAGGGGTGGCGGCATGACGGCCAGGCAGCTGCACACACAAGGGCCAGCGCACAACCCATCTACGCCAGGTCCGCCTGCAAGGCCCCTGCGTCCTCCTCGCCCATGGCGTGCACCATGGCGTGCACCATGGCGAGCACCATGGCGTGCACCATAGCGTGCACCATGGCGAGCACCATGGCGTGCACCATGCCGTGCACCATGGCGAGCACCATGGCGTGCACCATGGCGTGCACCATGCCGTGCACCATGGCGAGCACCATGGCGTGCACCATGGCGTGCACCATGGCATGCACCATGGCGTGCCCCATGGCGTGCACCATGGCGTGCCCCATGGCGTGCACCATGGCGTGCCCCATGGCGTGCACCATGGCGTGCAGGGGCGAAGGGAGCAACTGAGCAAAAGGAAGGGAACAACGCAGGGTGGGAGAAAGCAGGGAAGAGGAGCGGCACGATACAGAAGGAGCACTGCCGTGATCTCCCCCCTCGCATGACCAGCACTGCCGTGGTCTCTCCCTATCGCATGGCCAGCACAGGCAGCGTGGGTGAGGGAGAGGAGAGCGGGAGTCTAAGAGTGAGAGGAACACCGCGCCACTGTGCGTGCAGTCTGCGCACTCTCACCCCCTGCCCTTGCTGTCAGCTCTGAGGTGAGTCACACTCAGCCCAACCCACTTCTCATGAACTCACTCTCGCTCTCTCTGCACTCGCGTAGAGGAAATGCTTCAAGCGGTCGGCCACGGCCATTCCCAGCGGCTCCTTTCTGCCGACTCTCTCTCACTCTCCCTCGCGCTGCACTCTCTCTCTAATCTCTCCCTCTCCCTGCACTCTCTCTCTCATCTCTCCCTCTCGCTGCACTCTCTCGCTAATCTCTCCTTCCCTCTCGCTCCCTGTGTGCACTCACCCGGAGCGCCACCTTCTTGACCTTCTTGAGGCGCATGACATAGAGGAACTGCTTGAAGCGGTCCACCACGTCCTTCTCCAGGGGCTCCTCCGGCGCCCGGCTGATCCATGGGTGCTCTAAGGGGCGGGGGGTGGATGGGCGCGGAGGGGTTGAGGGGCAATGGGTGGATGCCGGGAGGGGGCTTGTGTGACTCATAGCAAGAAAGAAAGGCGGTTCCCCACATCATCTCACGCGGCGCCTGTAGCGCCCGGCTGTTCCAGGGGTGCTTGCTTGGCACACAGTGCAACGAGCATGCGCTGTGGCATGTGCTGACTTACCAACGCATCTCACCCACCATTATGAGTGAAGCCCATATGCCGTCCACCTAATTGCTGCGTGGTGGGCTGGTGGAGCGCCAGGTCATGTTACAGCATCTGGCTCATGAGGCTCTTGGCGTCCGGCTGTGGCAGCACTTGCAGTGGGTATCAAATGCACCGCACCCACCCATGGCAATCAGCAATACTAGTGAGGCTCATCTGCCCTCTCACCCAGACGGAAGCACCATCATCTCACCCAGAAGCACCATCATCTCACCCAGAAGCACCATCATCTCACCCAGGCAGAAGCACCATCATCTCAGCCAGACGGAAGCACCATCATCTCAGCCAGACAGA